AGCAACAATGTGCGGGAGGAAAGCAATGGGCTCAAACATACAGCGATGGCGTTGTTATCTAGATGCATTTTTGAAATCATCTAAGCGGAAATATGTCGATGCAACGTGGTAACCTTTATATCGACTGCCCGGCGAGAGAAAAGATAAAATCAAGAGCTTCGCACCTGTTCATTTACACTGGTTTGTTGATTCTTGTGGACAATTTTGGCCTTCGGGGGTGAATCTTGGTACCGGGGAGTGTTCCGGGACTTCACCCGCCATATAGAGACTAGGCAATCGGCGCCGGGGAATGATGGTACCCGACATATCAAGTAGAGCGGCTCTCTGATGCAGATCAGAACACGTTTCGGTCTCTGACACATGCGCAGGCATTTATTAGCCTAGGAAATTGGCGCTAACGAATCTACTACGAATCACTACACACTTTTATTAGCATGAAATGTTGAGGCCAGGCTCACTTTTACAGCACCATTTGATAACTGATAGAAGCTAGCTTTGCGTGGCACCTAGTTACTAATTAAGCCTATAAAGGGTAAAATATCCTTTGTATAGAGTAGTCAAAGGAACACACTCAATGTGTACTAGGGTCTGTCATTGGCCCTATTCGTATAATAGCACGTACCATATCTTTTATAATCGACACGATACTTAAAAATATATCGGGTTGTAACGTTTTTCATCCACCGGAGTAGGTACGGAGAAAGGGGTATTGTCCTAGGAAGCCTCTGAGTCCTGGATGAGTTGACTTCACACTAACCTACACGATCTAAAATTCCAATATTCCTACGAGACGAAAGGATTCTTGCTAACAAGCCATAATTTATAATGCGATGAACTTGACGTTTTTGGCATGCTCATTGACAAACAAAGGAACAAAATCTGAGACCATGTACCATTTGGGCTTCTCCATTTTGTCGTGAACAACCTGGTCGTCGATCTTGAGGTTCTCAAAAGTAACATCTTCGACCCGTCGAGCCTCATTATAACCCAAAATCAGCGATGGATTTATAGTTTTGGAGTCGCGCGTGCACAAAGAAAGGTTTTGGAAAGTTACATTTCGAATCGCTCGCCCAGGGCCAGTAGTCCACATCTCATTCTGCATCACTCGGATATTTAACAGTTGGCCGCAGGTGATCCTTTCCACTCGGACATCCTCTACATGGATATCTTGGATTAAGTTTGAATCAGCAGCGTTGATAGCGATACATCCTTGGTACCACAACTGGTTCTCCTCTTGGTCCAAGATATCAATATTCCGGATGGTGACATTGCTTGTTGTCTCTGGATTTTCGAAATTGCCATGCGTGCCCATCATGATAGCGTGGGCTATGTCCGGGAGCAAAACGCAATTCTGGATGGTGATGTTAGTGGAGTCACCATACCAGTCCCAGCGGTGAGAATAGAGCGCAATGTTATCGTCAGAGTTGCGCAAAAAGCAATTTTCGATCACGATATCGGACGAACAGAAGAAATCCACTCCATCTCCGTTGCCAGAAGATGAGAATGAGCGATATCTATTGATATTCACATTCGTGCATTCTCCCGCAGAGAGACTGAATCCGTTTGCTCCCAAGGACGTGACACCTTCCACATAGATATTGCTTGCTTGGCTCATATGTATTGCGCCACCATGTTCTCGATGGACATATCCACCCTTTGGACCGAGTATAAAGCCGTGTCCTCGTACAGAACTGTTGGCGACACCAACAAAGTTCAGCCGGAAAGTGACAAAAGCTCCACCCGCGATGTACACATTTGTGCCTGACGGTACCATGAGATTGACCCCGTCGGTGATCTTCGAGTACGCCGATCCTTGATTTAAGCCTGGTCCAAAGTACCAGACGTCTTTGGTATCTTCACTGGGAGCGTCTGGATCAATCGTGTTCGTGAGCAAATGGAGGGCTTTCCACTTGTTGCCATTCAGTTCGAGCATCACATCTTGAGCGCGATCCAAAGTGAACGTGATTATGTTATCTCTCAATTCAGTCTTGATGCCTCGTGAGGTCGGTCGGATCGCTGCCAGGTCGACTGAGCCTGGCGTGTATGTGACCTTGACACTAACAGGTCCGTCGAAATCGAAGGACGCCACTGCGATGGAGTGATAATTGAACTCATTATGGATGATGCTCGCGCTCGCCACGTCAACGGCGTATGCGGCAACTTGAGTCCACGAATTTTTGTTGTCTTCTGTGTTTGGCTGCACATGAACGATAAAATCTGGATTGATCAAAATATCCGGAGGACTGTCATACGTTTGAATCGACGAGGTAGATGCCATAGTTGAAGTTGAATGGGTCTTGTGTTAAGAGGGGGAAGTGAATATAGTATGTGCCTGGGGCATCATTACTGGTTAATAGGAACGATCACAACTTATCATGCATTAGCTTGAATGGAACTTTTCCTTTTCCCGTGTGTTGAGTGCAAAGTCTCGTGAAATCAATGCTCGGAGAAAGGGGAAACTGCTGGAGCAACTCCGGTCCCTATCAATTACTACCCACTGTAGGATGTAAGGAGTAACGATCTTCTTGGAGAGGAGGTCCCAAGTGATTTACAAATTCGGATTAGTGGGTTATTTCGTGTCCTATTAAGTCGGAGAACGTCCGGCACTTCCTCCGTAGGCTATTTGGCAAATGTGGGCCAAGTGTCGGCTAATCTAGATTCCGACGAAAATCAAATGGGGTATAGATATCTAGACTCATCCAAATACTAGAATGTAACTTTTTCATCTCGATTCCTACGCTACTTGGGCCATCTTACTATTCCATTGCGCATTATGGCCTACAAAGAAAGCGAAATGGCGACAACCGTCGACCATGAGGAGATGAAATCGAACTTGGACGTGGCAAACACCGAATATGGCAATGAGAAGAAGGATCCCTATATGGCTGATCCTGGGATTCAAATGGATGATGCCACTGATCGACGACTTTTCTGGAAGATCACTCGTCGTGTCCTTGTCATCCAAGTGATCACCTATTTCTGTCAATCTTTAGACAAAGGCATCTTGAACTACGCCTCCATCATGGGTATCAAAGATGATGCCCACCTCGTGGGTCAGCAAGTGAGTCCTTATACTTAGTGCCATTTCCGTCTACACCTAGTTAATGCATACGACTCAGTATTCATGGTTGGGGACGATCCTGTACATTGGCATCCTCTGTGGGGAATATCCGCAAAACCTGCTTCTACAAAAATTTCCCGTGGCGAAGATACTCGCTATCAATATTTTCATTTGGGGAGCTGTTGTAGCGTGCTCAGCAGCATCAACGAACTTTGCATCTCTCATGGCTGTCCGATTCTTACTAGGATTCTTTGAGAGCTGTGTCCAGCCAGCAATGATGCTAGTGTATGTGTTTATCTTCATCCCTTTAATTAAGTTGTGAGCTAATTTCCACAGGACAGGAATGTGGTACAAGAGAGAAGAGCAATCCGTCTTGAACTCGATTTGGTATTGTATGAGTGGAGTGCAACTAATTGTATGTAGTGTTTTCCTAGTTCTCTATGGTTTTGCTAATTCTTTCAGATCGGAGGCCTTCTAGGATTTGGCGTCTCCCATTTCACGAACGGCCCAATAAAGAATTGGCAACTTCTGTTTCTGGTGCTCGGTCTCTTTACATGCCTCTGGGCGGTCGTTGTCGGTATTTTCCTTCCAGATAGTCCTCTCTCCGCCAAATGCTTTTCTGAAGATGACAAACGTCTGATGGTTGAACGAGTTCGACATAATGAGACCGGCATTGAGAACAAAGAATATAAGAAATACCAGGTGGTCGAAGCCCTCAAGGATCCCCTAGTTTGGTGCTGTGTCATGCTCATTCTCGTCGCTAACTTGGTCATTGGCGGCCTCGGAGTATTTTCCAATCTCATCATCCAAAAGTTCGGCTTCTCGCTTCTTCAAACACAGCTCCTCAATATTGCCCAGGGAGCTTGGACCATAATAGTCATGATTGGATCTGCGTGGGCATCCCAACGATTCCAGCAAACGTGCCTTGTGATGATAGTAAGCAATTGTGCCAACCCATAACTGCATATTTTAGTGACTTATCCAAAATAGCTATATACAATCCCGTCAATTATCGGCACAGTCGTCATCCTGGTTGTTACCCCGACTCCATCGAATGCAGGGGGAATGCTGATCGCGTTCTATTGTACGCAATTTTTCCTCGCACAAGGCAACATGATTATCTCACTCATCACTCGAAATATCGCTGGACAATCAAAGAAGAGCTTTACTATGACTATGCTTTTCATTGGCTGGTCCGTTGGTAATCTGATTGCACCCCAGATTTTCCGGGATGGAGACGCTCCCCGCTATCTGCATGGCTTCTTGGCGCACATAATCATTTATGCTGTCTATATTGCTATTGTTATTTTAAGCCGTGTGATCATCATGGCTAGGAACCGTTCAAAAGAACAGGCGACAAGTGAAATATCTCACGACCTGGCTTTCCAGGATCTTACGGATCGTGAGAATCCAAATTTCCGTTATGTCTACTAGTACTGAGGTCGCGGGTGTCACCTATATAATGAAAAAACAAATGGGCAGTCCCGCCGTATTCTTCAAAGCCTTCCTTTGGTAGATAGAACAAGAACCTGGAGTACCTGATTATTCATTTTAGACAGTAGGGGCAGTAGTAGATTTCATTTCCCCGAAACTCCACTTTGACATTGACTAGTGTTGAAATGATCCCATCTCGCATGGGTCACTGGTTTTACTAGAAGACTGAGCACTTGTTGGTTAGACGCAGCCTAGAAAAGGCTTGCTTTTGCTAGATTTAATGATCATAGTTCCTTCTTTCTGTCTCTCCCCTGGTAGCAGTAGCTCCAACAACTAGTGAACTATCCTACACTACTAGCCTGACACTGTAGGAACCTGAACCACCTGCCTATCAGGCACGTATCTCAACAACAAGCACTCACAATTATCCCAACAGACGACGGTTCGATTCACAGCAAAATTTCAAAAAGACATGAATCCATTCTTGCAGTTATGTAAAGAGCCCCTATGCCTCCGGTCCAATACGGTAGAGCAACGTACCGTGCCCGAATGTATCGTAACCGCCAGAATTAGGGCCATAATCACCACCGCCACCTTCAACACCCGCACTGATATTCTGATTAACATAGTCCCTGTATTCTATTGACCACGACGCATTCATATGTTTGACACCAGCGTAGTGAGATGCAACTGCCTCGTATCCTGGCCGGACACTGAAGCGGCTCTTATTAGCCACGACACTCAGCAGGCCCTCCCAACTAGTGTAAGGTACATAGGGAACAGTGTGGTTGGTGTTGTATTTGGCAACATATTCGGCCCTGTAGCAGAAATCATTAGTCGATGTTTTAGAGGTTGGGAGAAAGGAGGGCCTGACGCATGGAGAATTTGGTGTTGGTATGTCGAGAAGAGATCAACACCTTGGTTCCACCCCTGCTGTCCAATGACTCCTAGCAGAGCAATGCACAGGGTTGCATGGCCTTGATCACGGCCGGATTCTTGGATTTCCATAAGTTGCTTGCCGGAATCCTCCTCCGTGAAGTTGGCGATGGAAAAGTACGGCAGCGCCCCGTTGACGACAACACTACTGTCTGGCAGGCCAAACTGCCAGTAGTGAGCAGCGTAGTCGTACATTGTTCGGTTGTCATTGAAAATTCCAATTGCCATTAAAGAAGCGATGTTGCACAAATCCCAATTCGCATAGTAAAAGTTTGGTTTGTAATTGTGATTCTCGAGAAAGTCAAAGTTGTATTTTGCAAATACATCATTCAGCATATCAGCAAATATGCTCTGATTGGCCTTTGTCCATCCAGGATAGACACGGAGGAGCTCAGCTGCATTGGCAAATTGATACCCGTATAGACCTGCTGCGAGAAATTTGTCTTCAGTGCCGTTGACATCCCGTAGTGTTGAGCCCCAGCCATTCAAAATCTCAACCGCGTGGTCGGCATAAGAAGTGTTACCTCCTATGAGCCAACGAAGCGTGAGCTGATAAGCTGAATGAGCGTCGCGGTATGCGTCGCCATAGTTTTGTGCAGGGGTGGGCTGCCATGTAGCATTGGTGCCGCGGACAAGAATCTCGTGAGGCTTTGGAACCCATGTCGCTTGGGCCAATGTTGCAGACTCGAGGTGCTGCCATGCACGGTACCATGGTTGAGCTTCGGCTCGCACGTAGCTTTTTATTCTTTCGATATCTTTGTTCGTATGCAGTGCCCCTGGGTGGATAAACGACTGCGGGTGGGGCGTAGCCAACCCGGTAGCTATATGTAACAAAGTGAGACACGGGACGATCTTGTTGAAATGCATGTTGGAGATTTAGATTCAAGCAAGTTATAGAAATTGTGACAGACGGAAAAGACAAAATTTGAGTTCTTATACATTTTGTCTCAAGTCGGCCGAGACGCCAAAATATCATCAAACATCTAGATAGAGTAACATGGATAGAATAACATTTCGTCGGGGCCAGCTTCCAAGGTTTACCCCGGGTCCGCCACGTTTTGGGCCGCCACTGCCCCACTCCTCCCCTGGACTTCCCCACATCTATATATCACGCATTCGGGGGCGAAAGGGGTATAATGCCGCTCCTTCATCCGGATGCCGCTTGTATCTATTAAAAAGATCATCAGACGCATAATAAAGTGGGTCATCTTGATGTAATGTCAAACCATTACCCCATGACGGGCCAGTAGCTCGGGGGAGACCCGAGACATCTGAGCTCAGGGAGAACCTGAGCCAAAGCCGAACCCATGGTCACTAGATTAACGTTTCAGACACCGCTTGGCGGATCCTTCTATGGCTTCTTAAGGTTCGTTGAATGGACGCCTGGATATACTGATGATTAGATTTGTGAACGCGCGTCAGGGCGGACAGTCTTCGACATTTACCCGTCGCCCGCCTCGGCGGCCGTTGCATGATTGATGCAATTATGTAGCCTCGCCTTAAATTAACCGTGCCAAGGTAGACCTCGGAGATATTTCGACTATTTATTCGAAAGGTGCGCACTGTAAATTTCGCCATTCGCGCTGTTATCAAGCTGTTTGCTTGAATTTGTACTCTCAGCTACCATCCCGCAACATGCCAGCCTTTCTGTCTCTTCTGTCTCTTCTCGCCTTCTCGTTATCTGCAACGGCCTTTATTCACCCTGGGGCGCTTCACACCGCGCAAGATTTCGAGCGTATCAAGAACCATGTCGCCCAGAAGGATGAACCTTGGAATACCACATGGACGCTATTGACTGCGAGCGGCTATGCCCAGTCGTCCTACCAGCCTAGCCCTAAAGAGACGGTGTATCGAGGCAACAACGGCGTCGATGGGGAAAACTACCCGTCCCTGTACAAAGACACTGCAGCCGCGTACCAACTTGCCGTACGCTGGAAAATCTCTGACGACAAGAGCTATGCAGACGCCGCGGTCAATATTCTGAATTCGTGGGCTGTCACACTGAAAGACATTGGCGGCACCAGCGACAAATTCCTGGCCTCTGGTATTTATGGGTACCAGATGGCCAATGCGGCAGAGCTTATGTCTGATTATTCTGGCTGGGACAGCAGTAACAAGACTGCTACTGCGGCCATGTTGACGAATGTATTCGCCTCGATGAACACGCGGTTCATGGAAGAACATAACGGTCAGGACTATTATCACTACTACGCCAATTGGGATCAATGTAACCTCGCATCTCTCCTCGCTATCGGTATCTTCACCGATAACCAGACTATGTACGACTACGCGTTGAACTATGTCCGCACAGGGCCTTCAAACGGCGCTCTCCCTGTTTTTGCGATTGCCAACTACACGGAATCTGGCTCAAAGAAGGTTCTGACACAGGGACAAGAAGCTGGCCGGGACCAGGGCCATTCGACATTGAACATGGTGCTTCTTGGTGTCATAGCCCAGCAGGCGTTTAACCAAGGAGACGACCTCTTCGCCGAATACAGCAACGAAATTCTCAATGCGTTAGTATTCTAAAAAATACCATTGGCTTAAGAAAATTATTGACGGAGCAATCTAGGGCCGAATACGTTGGGAAGTACAATGTCGGCTATGACGTGCCCTACACTCTATACAAAAGCTACCAGGGAGATCAGACTGTCATTTCAGAAAGCTCGCGGGGAACTGTTCGCCCAGGATTCGAGCTGCTCTCTGCCCATTACGGCCAGATAAAGCGCCTCGACTCATTTTGGACAGATGCCTACCGTGACTGGGTGAATGCGAATTCCACAGACGGTGTTGAGGGTGGTGGTGGAAATTATGGTTCGACGTCGGGCGGTTTTGATGTGCTTGGGTTTGGCTCCTTGCTATACCGTATTTAGTAGAATACTTTGATACATTGGGGTTGCCCTTAGGACTCGAGTTCTTGACAGGAATAAGTCTTCCTCGGCTTGCTCTGTGGCCATTTGGAGGACTTGGTTGTTTACAGAATTCAGGGGCTTGCATAGTTTGCAGGATTCGGACCAGCGACACCACTCTGTACGTCAAGCCTTTGGTATTTGATGCCATTATTGGCCAATGTCTTCGGCAATCTCCGGCAGCGTATGGTTAACTCGTAGCACCCGAAACGCTATTCCTTCGGGAGCGTGGAAGCGTGGACGATCCTCTTTTTTTGAGATTATATTCGGAAAATCCTATCTCTTATTTATGTCTCACTCGAAGACCTGATAAGGTTGCCTTTTTCGTTTCTGCCCATCAACTCACGATATGGTTGTCGACCCCAAATATATGAACAGCAAAATCTCGGCTTTTATGACCGACCTATCAAGCGAGCATTATTGGGAATGGGGTTGCCAAATTTGGGCTTTTGGTCACACCATTTCAATTGTGACTTGAAAACTGGGAAAGCAGTGGCCTCAAATCAAAGAGGTTATTACTTCTCTGGAAGGCGACGCTCCTCAATCGAGCCAAGTCGGAGCTCATCCAGTATGGAATACACGCTGGATCTCCAAGCTTGAGGCCATGGTAAACTTTCTATAACCTTCTTGCAGCATCTTTTCATCCAAGAGATCGCACCGTCGACGTACTCCAACATATAACTCAGAATAGCCAACCAATAAGTCTCATAAGTAGAGTCGTAGTGGCGGCAAAGTAGCAGAATCAGGGCATCACAATATCTCACAGCACAGGGGATTTTCACAGTACAAGGATGTGACAAGAAGCGTCCTTGGCCACGACCTGGCGATTCCGACGGGAGTCGATCGTCCGACGCAATCATGATATCTGGACTTTTCTCAGGCAAGTACCTAAGATCCTCAAACTCCCACAGCACATCGGATTTCCGATAAAGCGAGACCCCAAGCTCATCATTAATATGCAGATGCTTAAATGCTGATGGGACTCGTGAAGAATCCGAGTGCGGACAGCCAGAGCTTTGGCTACAGGGTAATAAACCAGCACTCATTAGTGAAGAGAGTGCGACCTGGGTGAGATCATCCGGAATAACAAAAGCTACTCCTTATTAAAACTCTGGACGGCTGCCAAAGAAAAACAAAGTCTCCCAAGCGTCCCCTTCCTCCATGATAAACGGGCTTACGGATTCAGAAAAAGATATAGAGAGAAGCCTGCACTGAGGTTTAAAGCTGGTTGTAGAAATATCAAGTCAAAAATATGTTCAAGTCGACAATGATAAGGCGTCCCCTAACATTCATGTCACGTGGAGTGTTCGATTATGCGTAGGATCATGTCATTAGCGCTCCTCTCCCTCCTCCAGAAGGCCCTTCAACATCTCAGCAGGTGTAATCTTGGGTGCAGCAAGCTCCAGAACCGCCTTGCTCGTTGTTGAAGCTGAGCACTTTCCTTCCCACGCTGTCTCCGGGGCGTGTCTGACAGAAAATATCACGTTCTTTGATTGGCCAGTTGCGGCAAAATTGTGCTCGTAAAGCAGGTCAAGGAACGACATGTCTTGATAGCTGACATGCTCAACCTGCGTACCAATGTACTGCTCGACCATGTCCACTATCTGCCTCCCGGTAATGTCCTCTGGTCCATTAAGAACATATTTGGCCTTGTTGTGCACAGCAACTTCTTCTTGGGATAGGAGACGAGCCGCAAAGACTCCAACCTCGTAAGGGTCGATCACACCGACGGGCGCATCCTTCGACGCGATCAATTTGAGAGTCTCCTGCTTTCCAGTCTTGCGGTACTGTTTAATCAATTCCGCGGCGTTTGAAAGGTAGAAACCGGAAAAGATGTTGGGCTGGAGTGAAGTCCACTGCAGGTTGGCAAATTCGGGCGAGCTCAGGAGAGCCTCAATCGCCCAGTGTGTACGTGGATAGTAAGCGGGACAATCTGGGCGGACGTTTGCAGCAGTGGTCGAGATTCGCACGACGTATTTGACACCGGCGTTCAAGGCAGCAAGGTGGAATGTAGACTCTTCAGCGAAGTGATTTGGTTCATTGTGTGATGCGATGAATGCTCTGGTTACTTGATGTTCGCGGAGCCAGTCAGAGGTGATTTCAACCCAATTCTGCTCTATCACTTCAACTCCAGGGAGTTTGGCGAGCTTTTGTGCCACTGGACTCTTGATGGAACGAGTAAGAGCAATAACACGGTGGTCAGATAAAGTATTGCTTGATTGAAGCAATTTCGGCAGGGTCTCAACAACAGCTTGGCCGGTATTGCCTGTGGCGCCGACGATGAGAATGGTAGGAGACATGTTAAGTCAAGAAAGATGTTATTCTAACAAATTGAAAGATAGGATGTGTTGTAACTGTGTCCATCATCGAGGTGCATTGCTGTGAACTTATACTTGCGCCCGGTCTAGCCAATTTGTAATTTGCAGCTTATAGTGGACCTAAATTATAAAAGAAATAGATATTGGAAATCATGACGTTAGTAAAGGGGATGTACTAGTAGTGGCATCCCACCAGGTGGCAAGTGGGGTACCGGTGGGAGGCCGGTGGGAGGCCGGTCGGGGGCCGACGTACAGATACACGCAAACTGTAGATATTTCCTATCTCAATATTCAACATACGATATTTGGAGTATTGCAATAGATACAGCTCCACAGGGGATCTGAGGTCCGTAGATATACTGTATGATTTTCTGCGAGGTGAAGCCAAAATCCCCAGCGTGCCGCCGTACATTCCAAACCGAAGGTTGAAGTGGACCTAATCAGCCAATAGCGTCCGCCGGTTCACGGGACTGATATCAACACGTCCTCGACATCCCGCTCATCACGTCCTGTTTCTGACTATCTTATGGCAAGCCTAGGCAATGATTTAGATATCCCACCGCAATCAACGATTGCGGTCAATTCCCATACCTTCAGCTGTCACTTTCCCGGCTGCAACGCCAGCTATCGGCGCAAGGAGCACCTGCACCGCCACGAAGGAAAACACTTTCAGCAGCAGGCTTTTTCATGTACCAACTGTGGTCGAGAATTTGGACGAAGGTATCTAGCTTCTTCGTATACATATTCGCTCAAACACCCACTCTAACTCGTCTAAAGTGACACACTTCGACGCCATGTCCGTCAGCGTCATGGAATAATTGAACCTCTCAAGCGTGCACAGCGAGCATGCGAGAGCTGTCACGCAGGGAAATCTCGGTGCGAAGGAGGTGTGCCTTGTAACGAGTGCGTACGTCGCAAGATTCCGTGCTCTTTCAACGACCCTGCTAGTACGGTCGAAAATCAACCTCCCGGATCCGCAACAGATCGTGTATCGAGCGTGAGGCATGATCAGCCACAATCACAGAACACAGGGAAGACAGAGCAGTACATCCGTCTTTATTTTGAGACTTTCCATCCCTCTTGGCCATTTATCCACAAAGGAACGTTCGAAATACGCCAAGAAACACCCCTCCTGGTTCAATCAATGGTTGTTATAGGCCTGTGGGCTACGAGGGAACAGTCTGCGCAATCAGCAGCAGTGGAGCTACACGGTAAACTCGACTTGGCTCTTCGAGATCAAAAGGTTCGCACTACAAGTAACATTTCCCCCATAATATGCTAGCTTTACTAAGACTCGATTGGTAGGAAAAATGGGATGCCTCGGAAGCAACTGGAGCTCGCAGTACCTGTGTCTGGCCAATAGCAACATACCAGGCTATCCTATTGCATATCATGTTCTCTTTTGTGACCAGCGGCCGGGCTATCGATTTCGACCTGAAAATCTCTCTCCCCCCTGATGATTTGGGATTACTCGAAGCTCTTGTCCGAAGTTGTCGAAAGCTAGGCATGTTCTATTATCCGAACATTCTTGCCAAGTACGTCGAAGGTGACTTGGATTCCTTCGTCTGGGTTAGCATTGAGGAAATCAAACGATTTAATATAGCTTTGTACAAAGTTTGTGGGAAGGCAAGGAGCTCTAGTATAAGAGATGGAAACCATGAGGATACTAACGCATGGTCTTCGCTAACTGCAGATGAACTTCAGTTCCCTCTGCCAAGCAACTGCCCTTTGTGGAATGCTGTTACCAGAGATGAATGGAATGCTAGTGCGAAGGACGAGAAGCTGGTTTCCTTAGACGATGATCGCCAGAAAAACTGGATATCAAATTTTGCAGAGATATTACAAGTCTTTGAGTTTTAGAATTTAAACCACTTGCGCTTTGGGTATAGAGGTGTATACATACAGAAGACTGATTGACACCTTTCGTTCGCGCGAAACGCCTCGCGATTCTCTACTGCTGTTTGGAGTGCCGTTCGCCCACTAAAGCCACTAGCATTAGCACCCTTACCATCAGCTTTTGCTTCTACAAGCTGCTCGACCACCAACGACTAAAGAGTCAGATCAATACTAATAGTGATGCCATGTAATAATGTGATCCTAGTTCTCATTATTCTCTTCATCACTATCGAAGACTTCCTCATCGCCATCGTCTTCCTCCTCATCCCCCTCTTGGTAATCCTCATCTTCCTCCTCATCATCTAACATCGCAGCATCCAAATCCAAAACCTCGTACCGCATAGAATCCCCATACAAAACACAAATAGCGCGCCGTCCCTTCCGTCCATTAACGTCAACATGTACAGGCCGCGCTTTAGGGCCATGGGGAGCAAAGAGATGTATAAGGACACCCGCGTGAGGGGATTCAGGCGAGACATCTAGTGTCGTAGCCGAGATAGTAGGCTTCGGAGCGGATGGCGTGCTGCCACATTCAATGTAGTCAATGACCAAAGGCGAGGGGTCGGTTGTTCCGCTTTGAGGCAGCGTTGAGGCCGGCTGGAAGGGGAAATTGAGGAGATGGGAGGAACCTCCTGTTCGGAAACATTGTTAGATTGTGCATATAGAACCTAGAATAGGAAGATGACAGATCATGTGTGAGTTACTTACTGCTGTCGCGCCAGAGAACCATGAGTGTGTCGTCGTTGACGAATTGTAGTTGGCGGACTTCGCCATTTTGGAGGTCGAGGGTTGCGAGAGCTGTACTTCTTGTTGAGCTGACGCCGCCGACTGAGTTCAGGACGACGCGGTAGAGATAGACTAGTTGCGAGGGTATAAGCAACTGGAATTTGAAGAGCGATTGCATGACGAACCTTGATGTTTTGAGGTGACTGATCGGGTAGCGACGTATATCGAGCAAGGCTGGCCTTCTATGGCATCCTGTGGCGCAAGTTAGCTCATGGAACAAGACAAGATTCAACAGTCTCAGACCCACCTCGTAGCAGAAAGTTAGATCCATGACCCCTTGGTCACAATCAGAGTGAAGCGTCAAAGGCGAGCGATGGAGAATTCCCCTGCGCTGAGTCAAGGCAATCTCTCCAAAGACCTGCTCAAACTGGATGCCTAGACGCCTCGTCAAGTCATTAAGCTTAGGCGTCTCGACCGATGTACCATCACCACCTTTGTCCCGGGACTCGCGTTGCTGCTGAAGAAGTGACTTGAAAGTGTCGAAGAACGAGCGGCCATGGCCACCTGGAAGCCATTTATCAGCTGGAGGGGTAGGAGGCTGAACAACTCCGATCATAGGAAGTTGGCGGATGAAGTTTCGTAGAGCACTTTTGGTCAATGCGCCTTTAATATACTTCACAGTAGGAGGGACATCGAACAAGTCCCTCTTCTCCTGCAGCTCTTCCAGTGTCTGCGACAACGGTTCGCTGTTAAGAACGTGGATTTCTTGGCGAAGCCATCTGGAGAAAGCGGCAAATTGCCCCAGTTCCTCGTTGGCATGCGTGAGAACACGGTGCGCAAGAAGATGGAGACAATCAAGTGTCTCCACGATAGCATTGAGCTTGGTAGTGTCCAGTCCAAGGACATCGCTTAGCTTGTGGAATTTGGACAATCCAACCAATCGACTGAGAAGCACTTGAGTGCGTTCCAAGGCCGGGAGGAGACATTCGTGTGTCAGTCGTCGGATATTCTCGTAGCCGCCCGAGACAGCCTTGTCCCATCTCTTGTGGCCCTATGTCGTTCATTAGCACGCCATCTCCCAAATTGCCAGGCTCACATACTCTTTCTCCAACAATATCCGTAAGGAATTCTTTCATGGGCTCGAAGCAATGACCAGTGACCACCAGGTGATAGATAGCGGTAATAAAATCACACTGGCATTTCTCCTGCAATTCCTCGTTGACACTGCGCAAGAACCGCGCAGGAAGCTCCTGGGCATTCTTCCACTCAAGCTCAATTTGGCGCTGCACCTGATCAATGTAGCGCAGCAAATTCTGAAGCTGAGTGGTCTTCGACGCAAGAAGAGACAAATATCTCCCAGACTTGGTAATAAAGCGAAGATCCATCGTAACAAGCTCAAGCGGACCATGAGTATCTCCCTTAACCGGCGATGTCAGTAGAGCATGCGTCGAGCTCAAGGGGTGCGAAGCATGTCTCAAGATACGGCACGAGTCGGAGATACCAGGGGAACTTCCCACAGGGAAAGAGCCGATCTCGAAGCAATCAAAGATGCGCAGGTGCACAGTGCCATCGTCAAATCCGACGGAGAGCACTTCAACCGAGTCGTTAGTATCCTTTGAAGAATGGAAGATGGCGTCGAGCGACGCCCGCGAGCTGAAGACATCATCCTCGCCTCCTGTTGCAGGCAGGGTGCTCAGCTTTGGTAGCGAGCTCTCAATGTCCAGCAAGGCAAGTTCCCTGGGTAAATCTGCTTTGAGCATGGTAGTTGCCTTGGAGGGATACACTCCCGGGGCTAAAAGATCATCAACCGAGATCTGACCCGTGGATTCATGCAAATGCCGCTGTGCGGCTTTGCTGTCTGTGAAGTTGACACCCCACCCAACGCACGTTGCCTTGGGTGTCTGGTTCTCAGTGGGATTGGATTGTTCCTCTTTTTGCTGATAGGTCTGGTAGTGGTGCACCGTCTTCCCGGTGTACGAACTGATGATGCGGAGCGAGCCATCTCCACACGCGACAGCGAGGAGGTGACCTGGTGTAGCGTTAGTAAATGATCGCGCGTGATATCAACAAGCAAGGCCGGTAAGATCTGATTATAGGAAAAATACATATAACGAAGCCCAGCCACAAGGAACTTCAAACTCACCATTCCCCTTCCACGCCATCCCTCTAATCTCGCCATCCTCTTCATCCTCGCCTAGGTACGGATCTCCACCAAAAGAACCCCCAAACACTCGCTGCCCATTAAGTCGGAATACGCGCAGTTCCTCGTCCTCGGTCGCCAGCGCTATCAGGTCCATCGTGGGACAGTACGCCACGGCCTGCGCCTTGCATTTTGCTGGTAGGGACTTTTCCCCAACGGGGGTCAGTTGGGGGCCATCGGCTGCCATTGTGGGTGCTTCTTTTTCAAGACAATTAGCAGGTTCAGCCCATTCTTATTTTGGGAACATCAAAGGTTCAGGGATTGAGGTGTGGCCCTGTTCTTTTTTTGGCTGAAGCTGTCGCGGGTGGATACAGAGGGATTCTTGGCGCGTGTGTTTTGGTGTTTCGATCTCGGTATGGGGTTGACCAACGTCACTCTGGAGTTTACATCGATTTGTTTCAACTCTCCACTAGGTTGGTTGAATTTTTACATTGGAAAACAGTTTTTGTCTTTCATATACATATGTATTTCCTTTGATATGATTTCATCTCTATTCAGAGCTAAATGATACATTTGCGGAGTACAAAGACTCCGATACCGACGACCAGCGCCAGCAATATGATAATAAGCACATGAGAAAAAAATACTAGACAGAAGTCTCTGAGAGGGAGTCTCTCATCAAAATGGAGCCCCATCCATGTCAGCTTGGATCAGATTCTTCAGATAACTGAGCTCATCCATCAACTCCTGCATGGTAGCATTCCCCTGGAACGAGGCGTTGCTGCGGCGCGAGCGAATGCGTTCAAGCGAAGTCTCGCTCACTTTCCGCTCTACGGCAGAGATATTTTGCTCCGTATCAGAGCCTCTATGGACTTGAGGGAGCAAGATCGGGGAGCCATTGGGGCTACGCGACATCGCAAGAGCTTCCATGGACTCAAGGGCGCTAAATAGTGCAGCGTGTCGCTTGGGGTTGCTTTCCACTTCATCCATGTTCTCGATGCCCAACCCGGAACAGTCGATGTCAGGTGAAGACATGGAGACGGTGAGTTCGGGGAGATCGACGCTCCAGGGAGGGAGTTCTCCGGATGCTGAGTTCGGAGACGAGGGTTTGGAGTAGACGGTGAGATGGGGGGTGTTTGGGTCGGTATTGGTTGCACCATCGCCGGACTGCGAGAGGTCTGGTGTTGTCCATCTTTCGGCTGAAGACTCGTCCTGGTGGTTAGATGCGGAGGCCGATGCCATCGATTCGTGCGGGTTGTAGTCGGTTTCAGTGTCAGTACTCCATTCAGAAAACCGACTGTATTCAGGGACGAAGCGGGAGTGGGTAGTGTCGATTGTTGTGGCTGTCATGCTAGAAAAGTAACTGCGGGGGATCTCGCCATCCATCGCCTTGTCTCTCTCGTCGATGGCGCGAACTGCTTCATCCATGACTGAAGATGGCGTGTTTGGGAGTGTAGGGAGCCTCTTTTCTTTGGTAAACGCGGCAGTTGGAGTGGGCAATTCACTGGAGCTAGCGATATCTTTCAGGGCTTCCCTGATCGCACGGTTTTCGTCAAATTCCATAGTGTTTCCGTTTCCATTTGTCGCGCTGCGAGAAGGATTGGGTTTGCGTGCCTCCGGACGCGTCTGCACTGTAAGAAGACGACCTGGCAGGGTTTCCCCAGCAGTGGCTTTCATCGCGCGACGACTTTGAATGCTGGACTGACCAAGTTTGTCCGAAGAGCTCGAGGATGGAATCGCAATTCCGGCATTGACCTTGATTCCAGGGACATTGCGGCGATTTTCATCAGGCTCTTTCTGCTGTGGTACCACCTTAGAAGCATTCACTGGTTGCACTGGTTCGAATTTTCTATCCGCCTCGGCGGGCTGCCTGAAAGCAGCCAGAAGGGCTCGAGCTCTCGGGGGAGACATAGAGCGTGAATCTTTCTTGTGGCCCTTGCGAGCCGCACTGTGCGGCTGAGATACACTTCGGTGTATTCCGGCCATCGGAGATCTGCTCTCGGAGTGTGCGGGACTCGGTTCGTGGCGGATTGGTGCAGATGTCTGAAGACGTGCAGGCTGGGGCTGGGGCGGCGGCTTCCGCGGGTTCATAAACTTGTCTTCGGGGTTCATGGTCCGAAGATGCTCAGACTTTTGGGAGCTGCCACTCGCCGAGCGTCCATGTGCGCGGCTGTCGGGTAAAATGATAGGGACATTTAACACATTCATGGGCTGTCCTGGAAGAAGCGGGCACATGGTGGTCGTTGGCTCTGCCTCGTTGTAATACTCTATGTCATCATCGAGCAAATACTGTTTTCGTTGTTAGCTCTTTATCTCATATGCGTTAATATTAGCCTCACATAATACCAGTAAGTACCACCCATCTTCAGACCTCCCGTTCGCCATTGGGTCTTGTCTGGTCCGTCGCCTATCATATCCGTAAAGGTATGGCATCCTCTCCAGTGTCCGGGTCCGACTCGCGTGTCTCTTTCCATGACATATTGCTTAGAGAAATTATCCCATGATCCGAGTAGCTTGACCGACCGGACCTCCGGTTTGGTAATACTGAATTGCGGTCAGCACATGGAGATATCAATTGCACTGGGGACACTCACAGTAGGAAAGTCATGAGGGTAGTTGATATCATCGCAAGACAGCAAGAAGAATAAGAGTAAAAGAAAGATGGGCAAAACAGGTAATAGCACAGATAAAAAGAATAAATCAGAGAAAGAGAATGCACAACGACGCAAAATAGAAACCAAAGAAAATGCTAAAAGACAGAATCCAAGTAGAATACACGCAAACGCAAGGCAACAAAAAGGACAGTGGTCTATACAGCTCAGAAAAAGGGACTCAAGGCGCCCGAAAGCCCGAGCTTATATTAAAAAAACACACCAGCTCACAGACACAAAGCCAACTCCACAAAGGTTCTATAATTACCGGTTGGAAGCACGCTGTACCTGTTTCAGAATCGAGTGACAGGTCTAAGAATAAACGGTTCGTTTCAGATGTGTTCCGCAGATAATCACAAATGGCCTGGACACAAGGCCCAAACCAAATAAACAGGCTGCTTCAGGAAACGCGATGGTGCAATTTCCCCCGATGCAGGGCAGGGCGACAAGGTTGACCAATGAGGGGGCGGAAGGAGGAAGCGCCGACCACTCGGGTTGGGAATGTCCCTGCGCTGGGGAGGCCGGCGCTAAGAGGGCTCTTAGCGCTGCAGGCTGGTATGTTGAAACAGGGAGGAAATTGAGGTTGAAACAAAGGAAGGGTAGAATGCAGCCCCGTCGGCTGAAGAGGAAGATCAAGAGAGAAGAAGGTTGGGAGGCGAATTCGAGGTTTTTAGGAGATCGGCGCGGGGATGACTTTTGACGATCACAAAATTGGCGGTGACGTAGGGAGTTAGGAGTTTTCAATAATCCGTGATGATCGACTGCGTGAGAATTAGGTTATAAAGAGAAAGAGAAAGAAAAGAATATGATCTCAGATTCTGAGATTCGGATTTGGGGACAGACAGTGTGGCTTGGGATCCGATAACCCCGTCAATTGTAGTTCGATCTCCATGCAAGGTATGCACAATTCGATTGGTTATGTTAATTAGCTTTAGATTAATTAGATTTATGATTTATATTACATCGAGTGATTTGACGAATATATATCAACTGGTGTGAATATTCTCACTGGTGGAGATGCAACAGAAAGCTAACAGGGATATGTCCGAGAATTCTCCTGGTGGGATTAACCTTGATAACTACATATATGTCACTTTTATACTAGGTCAGCATATGCGATTGGAAATGTAAACATACAATTTGGGCAATCGTAAGATATAAAATCGAAACAGTAAAACTCCTATACCTTCTTCCTATCCAACCTCTTATGAACAGCGCCAAGCACAGTCTTCAAAATCCCATCCCCCTCCAACCTCTTCCCAGCCCGATTCCTCCAAGAAACAGTATCGACAATGTCCCTCATATGCAAATTATTACACCGACTCCCGAGATCTTCATCCAATTCCTCCAAGTACTGCCGCGCCATCTCATCATTCCCAATCTGAAAGAACTGAATCCCAACCTGCCACGGGATAGCACGACAAGAAGGCCCATCCAATCTCTGAGCCGTCTTGATAATAATACTCTCCGCATCATCCGTAAACACCCCATCGGTAATCGTGATGATGTTAATTGGCTTAACCGACTTAACCGCCTCCGGGTCTACCGGCTTAGCCAAAAAGCTCGAGCCAGATGCGTCCTTCTGCGCTCGTCTCTCTGACTCCTTCGCTTCGACCAGCTTCATGTACGGGTCCAGGATATCATGCAGTCGACCGCCGACTCCTGTTCCGCCGGAGGGTCTGACAGAGGTGAAGATCTCGTTTACTCGTTGTGCGGTCCTGATATTGTGATAGCCGCCGGCGTCGAGTCTTGAGCGTCGGCTGGGATTGTAGTTGTGGTTGTAGTTGTAGTTGGAACTGGAGTTGGAGTTGGAGTTGGTGTTGGGCTTTGGTCGGTGGTTGATGAAGTAGATGTCGATTCCCTCGCTGTCGTATTTTGTGCAGACTGGGGCGATCGCAGCGATGGCTTCTTTGGCTTCTTGCCAAAGTTCGCCTCTCATACTTGAGCTGTCATCTACCAGGAAGATCGTGTGGAATTCGCCAAGGAAGGCGTACTGGGAATCGGACTCCGGTTCTTCGGGGGCACTGATTTTGATGGTTGGGACTTGGGATTCTTCGTATGGTGGTGGAAGGTCCGATGAGCTATTGGTGTGGCCTCGGGACCATGGATAATGTGTTGGTGTGGATTTTGTAGTTGTCCCTGCTTTGCGCTCTTTGCGCTCTTTGCGCTCTTTCCGATGGGATGAGAAGGCCTGCCATATAGATGTCTTCTCGGAAGCACCCATGGCTGAAGATTGTATACGTTTAGATGATGTTCAGGTGAGGAATATATGCCGCAAAGGCTTGAGTGTCCTAGGGGCTGCTCAAATATCCTTAATGGTATGCTCCAGACAAAGGTTTTGACCCAGGAAACACCTTCTTTATATCTACATGTCTGACATCTATCAGGGGCTCAGCTGTGGAACCCAATATACAAAGAATGGATAGTATAGGGCAGAGACGCATAGACGCATAGACCAAGGCAGACTCCCCAACATGGCCAAGAGATGGTTTTTAATCTAACAATCAGCCCAAAGTATGTCAAAGCCCACAATATCGTAACTAATCATAAGGCAGATTATTAGTTCACTGCAGCCCTATTGTACCTAACAGGGGTATCGAGTGAGGGGTAATGTAGCTCATTCGCGTATGCCTTGGGACCCGGGCAACAGCTTGGTAAAGTAGTCTACTTAATCGTCGGGCTTCCAGGGTTGCTTTTAAATTTAACCAATCATATAAGCGTATTTCCCGTGAGCTGCAGAATGCACAGACAGGGTCCTTTGCGACAGGTGGCGGAGCGAACACCGCCCCGCATAGGGCGCAGCGTAGTCTACGTTCCCACAAGGATGAACTGAAGCCCCATTGTTATCGGTCCTTTCTAGAATCCTATTGGAAGTTATGGCTGACTATGACAGAGGTTTTAATCTCTCCTTTGATTGTTTCTTTGGAGACACTTCGTGAGTCATAATGATAATGAAAAAAGAGGCGCCCTAATCCCAAACCCCAGGCTATAACACAAAAGTAAACAAACATATCATTAGATACTTGTTGACGCTGTTGGTGCAGCATAATAAATACAATAGAAAGAAGGAAGGAAACACCTATTCAGTCGCTATATACCCCTCGGGAAGTATCCCCTTATGGGCCGATTAAGCTGGATGTCGCGTCATCAGATCAAGCGCATCATACAATTCAATGAGGGTCTTCTTCCTCGGCCACAGGATATAAAACCCCAGGATCAGCAGCGACGATATCCGCCACTCCCAGCGCCTGGTCGATACCCATCGTGTTTCCAATCATTTCCAGACACTTGACCACCCAGCGGCGCAGCCCGTGTCGGGGGTTCTCAACAACTCCAGCCACAAACAGATGCCAGAGGAGCACAATACCCCCAAGGTAGGTTTCAGCAGGTGGGAGACTAGAGTCCCTATTTACATGGTGGGCGTTGAAGTGAAACGGAACACTGCGACAGATCTCCACGGCTAATCGCCGGATCGTTGATCGCAGTGCCCTGCACTGGAGACGGAACTCTTCGGACAACGAGGCCATAGAGGAACTGTCGGATATCTTCCAGACGCGGGAGAGGATGATTTCGCTGACGATGATTCGGGCGCTGCGGTAATGGTTCCACGAACTGCAAGCCCAGGTGGACGGGTACACGTGGTATTGATCGTCGTATGGCGATATGCCTCGCAGTCGCTTTTGGGATGCAGAATCAAAGGGAGAGGTTACATGGGTGGTGTAGCTGAATTCGGGGGGAAGAGCTGCCAGCCAAGCAATTAAATCGGCGTCGATGGCCGACGCTGCTGATACGATTTCTCGGTCGTCGTTGTACATATTGGCGCAGATATCTGCGCGAAGATTCGATAGTTTGCCAATTATCATAACTAGGCGATTGCCGTGAGCTTCTGCTGGCTGAAGAAACATCGCAATTTTCGTGCATTCGAGTAGTGACTCAGGCACTCGTGCGTCTCGTTGTAGGCAACTGATGGTCTGTTCAGGGGTTAGCTTGAGATCGAAGGAGTAATCGATGACACTCACAATCTGAAAGCGAAGGTGTAAAAACAAGCGCAGACCGGCCTCAGTCTTAAGTTGATCAGTGCCCCGTATATCGAGCAGGGTTGTTGCCCCATTGATATGGTTGGTCCAACTCTGAAGATCCTCCGGGGCTCTTGATGTAATCAGCTGTAAACAGGGCGTCAACAACAACCATCTGAAAGGGTCAAGAATGCAAAATCCCATACTTCATATATGGCAAGCATTACAACAGCGCCTAAAGTTTGATTTGTCTTCGCCTCCTCGACGTCGGCTAGAGTGGTGTTAAGCAATCTCAAAGCGGATCCATACTCCCAGTGGGCTACATCTTTAAGCGATGGTAACCTTCTTACTCGGGAGAGCATGGCCGTGGCAGTAGCAATCACGCTTGCTTTCATAGCCTCGTGACTCGTAGGGCCTCCGGACTGCAACAGAAAACTGGAGATCATGTCGCTAGTCCAGAGACTGCCGGGAATAGCATTGGATCGCAGGAAATAACAGATTGCTTCATATTTGGTGGTTTCGAGCTCCTGTGACGGCTGGACCTCCAATGGGCAATTCCAGAGCTGTCGCATAAGATAAACATGCTGCGGATCAGTGTTGAAGTCAAAGTGCTCCACCACTGCGGTGCGGAGCTCAGACCGCACAGGATTCCCTTCTTGGATTGCAGTGCGACGCGATCGATCTGCTCGTTTATTCTTATGTGTCGAGGCCGCTGCCGCCTTTCGGACTACTGATTTGCTTTCGTCGCGGAACATTAGCGCCAGTTGATCCCGATATCCGGGGCAGTCCCGCTTGGCCCTGGTGCATTGCGAACAGGCTGGTTGGGCTTGGTCACACCGAATCTTCCTGGACCTGCACTCGCCGCATCCTTTGCTTGGTTTACCACAGTATACCATGTTCTGCACTTGACAGTGTATTGTATATTGTCCACTGGTAGAAAAACAGACAGTCATAAAGATGTTGCTCCGCCCCCACGTCGCGCTTGACCACTTCGGGTATGCTTTGCGACCCAAACCTTCGACTGTCGATCTTACTTCCGATGTATTGGTTATAATGCGGGTGCCTTAAAGTTACATCATATAACATCTGATATGGCTAGCAAAAGGTATGGGGTGTACAAAAACCAATTTCACCATGAGCTTGCGTCTGAGGCAATAAGGGTGGCATGTAATATGTATCTCGGCGCCTGCATGAAATGCACCCGTCCAGAACGAAGATCCCAGCGGACTCCTGCACGAGTAGGAGTATGTAGGCTTTTGAGTTAATTTAAAGTCTCCACCTAACAGTATTAGATTGTCTTTCCGTTACTCCCCGTCCTGATTTTCACACTAATAATCCAAGATACAAAAGGAAAAGGCGCTAGCACTAATTTCTCTTTTATTACATTAAACATCAAAAGCTCAAGACGCTTCCATGGGGACTTAGAGGTATTACCCTGCGCGCTTTGGTGCAGACTCAATCTCAGCATCAGCCCGGTTCAGCCGCTTCCTAGTTCTCCTAAAATGTCCGCTTGAGTCCGAATCCTGTTGAAGAAACCCACCTGCGCCGGTTCCATCATCATGCCATTCGCTGAATTCCCACTGGATGGAAGTCGATTGATCGTCACTGACGCCCATACCACGCCCAGCACGCATCAAACGACCCAAGTGGCTCCCTTCTACCATCTCTTCGAACCAAGGAATTCCCCCTGTTCTACCGCGCTGTAGACTCCTTGAGATATTCGGAGAATCAGTAGATGACGAAGCAATTACCGGATATGAAGCCATCTCTGAGGCTGATGCCAGATCAGATGAGGTCGAGACACCGGCACGGGGGGCTTCCTCGCCAAAGTCCCGAGGAAGTAATCTTAGATCATCCAATGCGCGCTGATCATCCACTAGCAGACTGCCAATCGTGACGGACATGAAATTAGATTCTTCGAGGGGCTCCTCCGTCCAGAATGTCAAAGGTGTACCGCAGTAGCCACAGAAGACACGCTGGGTTTGGGGTGCATGGCGGGGCGAATGAACGCGGCGAATGGAAGAGTGCGATTCATCTGGGAAGAAGGACTGCGTGTGGGATTGATACCAGTCGAGAGGCACTCGTAGCCATGCCGAAAGAGGCGTTCCGTGAAATCGACCTAGATTCGATATTAGCCGGGAGATCGACAAGCCTAGCTTAGATCTACCCACGATTGTCTCGGCTGCTGTCGAAGTACACTTCGGCATGGTCCGTCACATCATCCGGGATATTGATTTGATATTCGTTTCGACCACAAGAACATGAGCCGCGGAGCGGATCGAAAGCCATGGTAGTACAAGAACTACCGCGGCGTTGGTAACTTCGCAAGGTTGAGCTAGATAGACGGTTATAGATTGGAGATGAGCGACCAGATGATCGTTTCGCTTGGGAAAATTCACAATCGAAGGGAAGATGACCTTAAATAGTAAATTGGACTTTGAATCCAGGATGCAAGAACAAAATTGACGTTGAAAAAAAGAGAGAAGGCAAGATGTTCAGTGGACCCTCTCTTATGACGTCTACAACGGAGAGGCTGCCAAGGCCCACTCCGCATTGGCCTTTACCCTTATCGCTTCATATCGCTTTCCCGTGTCTCTCTACTCCCTCTCTCTTCCTTTTCACCTTCTCCCATTGCCTACCCATTACGATCACCTCCCTCGTCTATTCCTTACCTAGACGGAGACACTCAGCAATAACGATAGCGACCCAACCCATCCAATCGAAACCACGAGCCCCGAACCCTGCATACCCTCGGCGCATCTACCCCACGCCCTCAGTTCCTCTCAAAATCCTCCAGTCATCGAGCACCACGATGAATCCAGACGATGATCACGATCGGTCATCCTCGACGCCGAATGGGACATCCAAGCAGGGATCTGCCCAGGACAAGGACAAGCCTCGCCTTACCGATCAAGAAAAAAAGAGCAATCACATTGCCTCTGAGCAAAAGCGACGCGCGGCCATTCGCGAAGGCTTCGATCGCCTGACAGAACTAGTGCCTGGTCTCGAGGGCCAGGGCCGGAGTGAGAGCATCGTTCTGCAGAAGACTGTAGACTTCATTCACGTGAAGCTCCAAGAACGCCACGATCTTATCGCAGAGATCGAGAGCAAAGGCGGCCGTGTGGACGACTCTTTCCGCCCAACGTGATCCCATTTCCCTCGGCAGTTCATTGCGCTTTGGTTCAGCATCCTGCAGCCCCTGGTCCCTCCGCTCGTCGATCCCGGGGATCTGGGGGCTGCTGGCATGTGCCGAGGTCCGAGCGGTTTTCCTCGAATTTGGGCCACATCCACCTATACCCACACTACGAATCTCTTTTCTTGTCTATCCATTCAACCCTTGTATTACGAATACGAACGAGATCTTGGAAATGATCAATTGCGGGGCTTCCTCGTTGCCTGACAGATCTGGTCTTCGCATATGATTTGATGTCAATCACGATCCTCCACCGCATTCAGTGGAGTGAACGACTATCAATACGGTGCCACACATTTTGTACTTCTTGTCTTTCCTACTGCTTTTTAATTATTGTACATTGAAGATTTTTTCCCCCTTGGTTTGTTTCTGCTCCTAGGTACCAGAATGTATATGGTCATGGCTGTTGCTGCGAAGCAACTGGGGCGTTTTTCTTTCCCAACAGCTAGCCTGGAATCAAGCTCTTTTCAGCTCTGATCGAGCACCCACAGCGACATCCATATTTTCAATCGACGTCGGAAATATTCGACCGAGCCGTACTTCGGTCGCATCACGTGGACAGGGTTACGGAGAATAATTGCAGTCATTAAGTTGCCAACCAGATCATACAAAGAAGTATATTCAGAGGCTCGGAAATTTAGACGGAGTATTTAATAAGGCAATAGTGACAAAGGTGATATCTCAATATAGACTGCATATGTGTTTAGGGGTGGCAACAGGCATAGCATCGATGAATACCCAGGTACATATCGAGAGCTTCAGCTTACCGCCTGATATCTGCCAGAGAAACCGAGCCCCATCAGGTGAAGCAAACGCAGATTCTACGCTCTACACAAACCCGTACCATACAGGACTTTGTGGACACTCGGGATTCCCAATTGAATATCCGTACATATCCTTGCAAGGTCAATCAACTGCACACAAAGGCCATTTACCTCAACAAGCGAATAGAGAGAGCACCTGATTCCCCGCATCGGATCCCTGCCCGCAACACCCAAAACCAACACCAGGCAAACGCCAAATCGCCCGACATGACAGACACCAAGGAATCCCTCCTGTCCCACATGGAAGACTTCGACACCACCGAATCCGACCCGCCCCCAGCCTACGACAGACCCATCCCCAAAGGCAACCGCGGGGCACCACTCCCACGCCCACCACCCCTCAACCTCCCAGTCCTAAACAGCCTGCGCAGCCAGCGCGTAATCCTCGCCTCACAATCACCACGCCGCAAGCAAATAATGTCATTCCTGGGCCTCCCAAATATAGAAATCATCCCCTCGAACGCCGCGGAAGACCTACCAAAAAGCCTAGGCCCATTCGAGTACGTGCTAGCAACAGCGACGAAAAAAGCCCAAGCAGTCTACGAGCAAGAAGTCAACGACGAGATCAAGGGCGAGCCAGCCCTAATCCTAGCCGCAGACACGGTCGTCGTCGACCCGTCTACAGGCTCGATCCTTGAAAAGCCCCGCTCTGAAGCACACCACATGGCCATGCTGCGCTCGCTGCGTGATGCCCGAAACCACAAGGTCTACACCGCGCTTGTGGCTATGGCGCCTTTGGCTAGTGCCCGGGACCCGGGGTACGCGGTTGAAAGTACGGTTGAGGAGACGTCGGTGCGGTTTGATGGCGATGTTACGGATGAGTTGCTTATGGCTTATGTGCGCACGCGTGAAGGCGCGGATAAGGCTGGTGGCTATGGATTGCAGGGGCTTGGGTCTATTCTTGTTGAGAAGATTGATGGCAGTTATGATAATGTTATTGGGTTGCCGCTCAAGGCGACGCTCAAGATTATTGAGACTGTTATGCAGAGGGCGGATGACGATGAGGAGTTGCTTGGGGATGATGAGGATGAGTGAAGGTCGCTGGTATGAGGTTTAGGAGGTCTTTGTTTTTAGCCTTGTCTGTTTGTGTCATTGCATTATTTTTTTTTTGAAGGATAGAATTAAAAAAGATTAAGATTTGTTAAAGAACGCGATCTGATCGGTTCATAGAAACACCTTACTCATATTAAATGGTACTGCTAACCATTTGCTGCATATTTTGATGTACCCTGTAGAGACCGCACAAAACCTGGCAGCTGATCTACGTAGTATACAGAAACAGAAAGCACCAAGGATGTCTTCTCGTACAAGGGTTATATTCCGTTTTTTCTATAGCTCAGAGACAATACCGAGCAGCAGGAATCCGACACCGACCAATAATTTCTGGCTGAGAGACAAAGGAAAAATAATCAACGACATATACAGAGGCGGAACAGAACGCCTGGATAGACCAGAACCAAATTGGTAATCAGGGGGGAAAAAGGAAATAGAAAGACAATATGTCTGAAAAAAAGGAACAGCAACAGCACTCTATGCCGTCCAGATACGACGCAGAGCCTCGGTCACACCAACATCATTCGTCTCGAACTCGTACAGACCAACAGCGGTGGTGAGGGTGAACGCGCGCAGGAGCCAGTTGCAGGCGGCGCGGGTCTTAGGCACACGGGAAGGAGGGAAGTAGTCGACAATGGCGGCCCTAGTAGAGAGATGTTAGGTTGCGATTTCCGGATTGCAGATCTGGGGTAGATCTGAGGGGAATGGCGGGATATCCGGAGGCTCTTACTGGAATCCGATGTGCGAGTGGGCGACAAGCAGGGAGCACAGGATGGCGTCCATGACAGGGTTGAGGGAGCCAGCGGCGAAGGGGGCGAAGCTGAGAGGGACCAGACCGACGCAGACAAGTCTGAGAAGGATGTTAGTCGGGGCTTTTCTCCGCGCATGCCGGGGTTATCGGAAGGGGTCATATAGGTCGACATTATAGGGCGCAACAAGGAGCACAAACCTCTCAAAAGACCAGTGATAGCTGCCCTCGGAGGGGTGGGTTGCGGGAATGGGAGCAGGGTCGTTCACTATCGGGATAGGTTAGTATCAAAGATTCCAGGCGAGACGATATTGTGATTCGACAGGAGGCATTGTTTGAGCGCTGAGAACAAGGGAACTGTATATCTCCACAAATTGCCGGCGGTTTTATACTCAATGCCATCGAAAAGCGAGGGTCGGGATAGGAAAGGCGCGGAAATCACATACTGGTTCCCTGAACAGACTCTGCACCGCAAAACCACGTTAGCAACTGTGCATAAATAACACCCAATATATCTCTCCATTGGCAATATCTTAGTAAGGCTTATGGCAGGGCCTCTACTTACGAGGCAACGGGGGCAGGATCTGCTTCTTAGCGGAGGCATGGAAAGCGACGACCTGCGAGACGCCAACATTCTTCTGGAGGAAGGGCGCCCGGGGGGCAAGAGTCTGTCGCAGCAGAGATGAGCGCGCGAATGAAGCCATTGTGAGTGGAGAGTATGATCGTGAAGAAGCAGAAACGCCGTTCAAACACAAGCGGATGAAGTTGGAGACCTCGGGAGTCCGACTCGGTATGTCATCCTTTTACGGGCCAGTTGATTGGTCGATGGCTGTCCGCCCAGCCGAAATTGGCCGACACTGTGATGAGAAACATTTAGCCCTACGGGTATCTTCTCCTGTCTACTCCGTATGTATGTAGTATATGTATGGACTTGTTGGTTACAAATTAATGTTGATTTATTGACTGTTCATATTTTATTATGTGCAACGTATGTCTAAATTGGCTATTTTGAGAGGTATCCATTTTATCCCTACTAGTACATGTACATACTGAAGAGTCCTAACCGAGGTATTACATAGATACCTCCAAATGTTTCAACAAAAAGATCAATGCGCCAGGCATCTCGTTATTTCATAAGTCTCATAAACACTTAGAACTTCAGGACAGCCTTGCCCAGGTTCTTGCCGTGGAAGATGCCAACCAGGCCCTCGGCAGCGTTGTCAATGCCCACAGTCTCGTGGATGAGCACCTTGAACGAGCCATCCTTGATCCATTTCTGCACATTCTCCTTGTGCTCCTTGGCGTAAATATCACCCATACCCTTATCGCCAACGATGAAGCCGCGCATGGTAATGCGCTTGACGAGGACATTGTGGATATTCTTGATGGGGTAGGGGGCGGAGTTGTACTGGGAGATCAGACCGCAGACGACGATACGGCCGAAGTCGTTCATAGCATCGAGGGCAGCCTCGAGGTGTTCTCCACCGACGTTCTCGTAGTAGATGTCGATGCCCTCAGGAGCGAGACGAGCAAGAGCATCAGCTGGCTTCTCGGTCTTGTAGTTGAAGCCGCCATCGAAGCCGAGCGTCTTGGTGATGTACTCGAGCTTCTCGTCTGAGCCGACGGACCCAATGACGCGCAGACCCTCGTGCTTGGCGAGTTGGCCAACCAGCTGACCGACGGCTCCACTGGCAGCGGAGACGAAGATAGTCTCGCCCTTCTTGGGCTTGCCGATCTCGTACAAAGACGAGTATGCGGTGAGACCGGGCATGCCGAGAGGACCGAGGAAGACGCGGATGTCCTCGAGGCCGAGGGGGTTGTCCAACTTTTGAATGCGGACCAGCTCCTGCTCGCCAAGGGCAATGTACTCCTGGATTGGAACGTGGCCAATGACTAGGTCACCTTCCTTGTAACTGGCGTTGTTGGAGCGCACGATCTTGCCAACGGTGCGGCTGTCAATGGGCTTATTGAGGGCGAAGGCGGGGGCGTACGACTTGGTCTCGGCGGGGCGCATGCGGCCACGCATGTAGGGGTCAAAGCTGGTGTAGAGGGACTGCAGGACGACGCCGTTGTCGGGAGCGGCAACGCTGGCATCATAAGCGGCGGTCTCGACGACCAGGTCCTGCCCAGCGACGGGGTATCCCTGGGGAATCTTCTTGAATGTGAGAACCTTGTTGGCAGACATTATGTAGATGTGTTATAGAAAAGATAAAGATGGGAATTAGAAATTTGTCGAAGTATGGCGGGAGCTCTTTATATATGACGATTGCTGTTCATCAAAGCGGGGCTGTACCGAGGATGGAATACAATTCTCTCTTTGCCCTTTTTTATTATAAACCAGGCTGATCCCGGAGAAGGTTCTCGAGATGGTGATGGTCCAGCCGATAGACTCCACTTTCCGCAGTTTCTGCTTTGATATGCATAATTTATATGCCCATGCTCCTAGCGTACATTCAATAGGTGTACTATGAACACATAACTGTGGCAACGGAACCAGTCTTTGAAAAGAAACAGTGGGGAACGGACAAATTGAAGCAACCTCAGGCCGACGGAGACAGCCATTTTGGGTAGGAAGACCGTGACCCTCGGCATCTCAACAAAATAGAATAATTGTTGATTAATATACAACCCGATGAAAACGGTGATTGTTAAGCAGCGGAGGGGCTGGCCGTTTTTGGATAAAGCGGGTATGGAGGTACGTTGTATCTGTGCCAAGTATATACCATTCTTGTTCTGCTGTAAAGACATCCGCACTGGATTGGAAAATTATGCATTAAGTACATGAGTATGGAGCCATTTTCGGAATATGGACCAGCATTCTAAACCCAGAAGATGCGCGAAATTGGATACACTTAACCACACCTGGGGATATATCACCTAAGCTTTGCCAGCAAGTACGCCAGCGGCCTTATCAACAAAGTAGTGCTTGCCCTTGATCATCTTGACCATGAAGCTGAACGGCACAAATCCAAACATCTGACCCGTACCACCAGCTTCACCGACAGGCACGACCATCATAATGCTGTCGCCCTGGTCGTAGGTCTTGATGGCAGTCCCGCCTACAATTGCGGCTTTGAGATTGGCCGCCGCCACATGCGCTTGCTCCGTGGCCTTGAAACTGAGGCGCATTGAGTTGTTGGTGATATCGCCAGCAGCAAAGATAGGCAGAGTTGACCCGTCAGTCGACTGAACACGCATCTCTTTGTCCACCGTCACCCAGCCGTCCTTGTCCAGGAATTGAGCTGGAATGAAACTGTTGTTGGGGGTCGCACCGGTAGTGGGGATATACAGGTCGGCCGAAAGCTTGTCTCCGCCTTCCAGTGAGACTGTCCAGGTCGAACTATCGTCGGCCGGAGTTTCGACGCCAATGACTCGCTTCGAGGTCACGACCTTGACCTTCTTCTGCTCTAGCAGCCTGCGTGCGGCAGAGCTGGCGGATGACTTGAGCATCGGGAGCACGTGATCGGTCGCGGAGACAATTGTGATAGAGACCTTGCCGGTGTTGCCACTTTGTTCCACCGCTTCAGCCAGCTCACCAGCCAGCTCAACGCCGATAGGACCTGCACCGCCAATCACGATCTCCTTCGCCCCAGCAATGTGTTCCTGTGCCGACTCGATCAGCTGCTCCATGTCATTGTGGCCCGACTGCTTGAATGGAATGGATGTGCCGGTGAGCGAGCCGGTAGTGGCCGACGTTGTGCTTCCCGACGCGATAACGAGATAATCATATGATAGGGACTTGGGTTCGCCCTCATTTGGGGTCACGGAGACCGACTTGCCAGCGGTATCGATAGCAGTTGCGACTCCAGGAAGGAACTCGAACGCGTCGGGTCGGTAGCCTGCAAAAGCATCCTTGATTGGGAGCAAGTACTGCTCGGGGCGGAAGGCCTTGGGTTTGGCGACGATGCGTGGGGCGGCAATATTCCAGTAGAAGCTGGTTGAGGGGTTGATCAGCACAACCTTCGCGTCAGGTACATCACGAAGCACCGAGTGAGCGATATGAAGGCCTGCAAACGAGCCTCCAATTACGACTATATCGATAGGTGCCATGATACAGAGTCGTTGAATTTCGTCAATGGAATGGACAAGGGTGAGTTCCTTTTGTTTTGGGAGAAGGAATGGGATGTCTTATATGTGACAGATGTGATCTGCTCTCCGCGCGAATATGCAGGGTCCGCAGTAGGCTTGAGATACGTCCTCCAGGGCTCCTTATATTGACCGTCGTCAGCAAATAAAATGCGTTGGTCAGCAAATTTTGTATTTCTAATTCTACCTTAATGCTGACTAGCCTCATCGGCCCCAAATCTCCAGGGTTTTCAATGATAAATCGCTTTTGATTGGTTGACCTTTTCCAATATTTCCAAGGTTTAGGCCGAACCTTGATTTTGATGTGTTTGTTCCATTTGACATGTTTGCTTAGTTTGATACTGGTCAAAACTCAATTTGAAGTATGGACATATACTCAACTAGCTACGGAGTACAACATATGTTGTATAAACAAAGAAGAAGTAAGAAGGCTTGCTTCAATATATATATATACTGGGCATCATGTATAGTGGTGTTTTCTCCTTGCCCACAAATGCCTATATATATATCCCGACAGGTAAACCCTATTATTGTACCTTTTGCAGCTGTTCTGCAGGTTGCATGCAACTAATGAGTTTCACCCTCTGGCTACCAAATTTAGGAGAGGGAAACGGTAGCCCAAAGGACGTTGTACTCCGTACTAACAACTTGAATAGAACGTCTGTAATATCATCTCGTGCCAACTAGATATCCAGGTCATTAGTCCTACAACGTTGAGGACAAAGGTCACATAAGCCACCTATCCCAACCTTATTGGAAACAAACACCAACTTGGCTCTAGACTGTATGTTGTACACCTTCCTACAAACATTCTGGGTGGACTCATAGTTTGCTCACATCAAGGGTTAGATTGACTGCAACAAATTTCGGCCAACCTCATCTCAAAGATGACAGGCATGAGATCCGAATTAAGATCAGAAAAAGCCATGATTCCAGGTCTCAAACCTTGTTTCCGAGGTCTGAGTATGAGATGAGATTAGTCGACTTTTTCGGGTGTTGTTTAGTTTGACAGGTTCTTTTGGCAGATTTAGCGTGTTTGCCGTGTTTGCCGTGTTTGCCACAATTGTTTATTTCCCCTATCTCGGGATGTTTTCTATCGATAAGGATCATGTGACCCCGTGATTATTTTTGCGCTTCTCCTTGGGGCGCCCGAAGTGCAGTTTGCAATTTTGTCATCTTCCCATCCAATTTTTTTCCATTAGCATTATATCATGATGCTTGGGACAGTTCGCCGATTTGGCGTTTCACACGCGCTGCGCGCTACTGCACCTCGCTCGATCTCAGCGCGGTTGGCTACTCAGCTGCCGAAATGGCAAGCTCCTTCGACCATTTCATCTCTTTCTGCAACCAGATCGCTTCATTCCTCTTTCCCGAGGCTGTCTGCGGCTACTGCGCAGGCAATTGTTGAAGAAACCGAGCCCTCCAAGCCTGCGATAATCACAGAGTTTTCCGACCTAGCGGGAGAGAATCTCATTCACAACAAGATTATCAAGAACATCATTCAACCTGACCGGATGAACCTCAAGACTATGACTGAGGTGCAGTCTCTTACTCTCAACGAGATTGTCAAGGGCGATGATATGTAAGTTTGACAGATTCGTCTTGACATTGATTGGTCCGCTAACCCATGAGCCTTTTTCAGCCTCGCCCAGGCCAAAACAGGAACTGGCAAGACGCTTGCTTTCCTTGTACCCACTCTTCAAAACATTTTGAATGATCCCAGTGTCGATGTATCCAAGGTTGGCCGCCGCTCAGCCAGAACTGCTCCTTCAGAAATCCGTGCTCTTATTATCTCCCCTACCCGCGAACTCGCGGAACAGATCGCAGTTGAGGCCAGAAAGGTTGCGTTTGGCACTGGTCTTATTGTCCAGACCGCTGTTGGGGGCACGCAGAAGCGTGCCGGTCTTGCCAAGATTCAACAGGAGGGATGCCACCTGCTCATCGGTACCCCGGGACGTCTCAAGGACATCCTCTCGGACCCTTGGACTGGTGTCTCTGCTCCCAAGCTGAACACTTTGATTCTTGACGAGGCAGATCGCCTTCTTGACCAGGGTTTCGCTCCTGAAGTTGAAGAGATCCAGTCACTGCTTCCAGACCCCACAAAGGTGGACCGCCAGACGCTCATGTTCTCGGCCACCGTCCCCAGAGAAGTTTTGCAGATGGTCCGTCAGACCTTGAAGCCCAACTTCAAGCACGTCAATACCGTTCGTGAAGATGAACTTCCCACCCACCAGAGGGTGCCCCAGAAGGTTGTCTACACGCGCGGTCTTGAAAACAGCCTGCCCGCCCTTCTTGAGCTTGCTCAGAACTGGCAAGCGCGTCGGGATAACGGCGAGGAGCTGCGACCTTTCAAGGCCATCGCCTACTTCAACTCTACTGCTGAGACCAAAGTTTCCGCTGATGCATTTAACGCCGTAGCTCGCTCTTCAGAGTTCCGCCAGTCTTCTATGCGCAACATGAAAATGCTCGAGATTAACTCGCGCCTCTCGCAGGCGGTCCGAACTCGCAGCGCGGACAACTTCCGCAAGGCTCGCGAGGGCATCTTGTTCTCGTCAGACGTGACTGCTCGTGGTATGGATTTCCCGGATGTCACCCACGTCGTCCAAATTGGTGTTCCTCGGGACCGTGAGACCTACATTCACCGCCTTGGCCGTACAGCCCGTGCTGGCAAGGAAGGTGAAGGCTGGCTGTTCATGCACCCTGGCGAGTCAGATGTCTACAGGAAGCGCCTGGGTCGTCTCCCATTGAAGGTGGACACAGCTTTGGAATCCGCCAATGCAGACCTTACCCGGAGTCTGTCTAACGACACACCAGTTGGCAAGATCGTCAGTCAGATTACCGAGGGTCTGGCCCAGTGTGACAATGCCACCAAGGTCAAGTCCTACATGGGCCAGCTTGGTACCGCCACTGGAAACTTCAACAGCAAGAGAGAGGCCATCCAGGCACTCAACCAGATGTTCATCTCATCATACAATATGCAAACCCTCCCGGAGCTCAGCCCCAGATTGATGCAGCAAATGGGTCTCAACCGAATTGACGGTGTCAGCGTGGGTGACGGCACCCGCCAGCGACGCGAGGGCGGCTTCTCCCGCGGCGGTGACCGCAGTCGCTTCTCTCGCGATGGCGACCGTGGTGAGCGTGGTGGTTTCTCTCGCGGCGGTGACCGTGGCGGTTTCTCCCGTGGTGGTGAGCGTGGTGAGCGCAGTGGCTTCTCCCGTGGTGAGCGTGGTGGATTCTCCCGCGGTGGTGACCGTGGTGGATTCTCTCGCGGCGGTGACCGCGGTGACCGCTCGTCTCGTCCTCGCCGCTCTTTCGAAGATTCCTTCAACGATGACTTCCGGTTTTAAGTTTGAGTTGAATCAGAAATCAACTCTTGCCAGCCAGCCTGGCAATCATAATTTGTCTGGCATTTTCATGGGTAGCAATGTTGCTGTCTGGTGAGACCAGATCAGCCAAAAGTGAAAAGATGAAGCAACCATTCTAGCATTGGGCGGCGTTCTCCCATCTCTTCTTTCGGACTATCTTTGTGTACTATACGCCATTGGGTGCTCTGTGTTTCTTTAGACTTCTCTCCTCTTTGTCTTATACTCTATTTTGGTTGTTACTGCGGGATTCTTTTCTGGATACGAAGAACTGACCTTCACATTTGATTTCATGTACACTATTATTCTATCCAGGACTCAATTTTAATCTTGACCTCTTGACACGACACCTTTCTACCGAAACATGATAATAAACAGGAAAAGACTTGACCGCCTCTAACCAGATCCATTTTCGAGACATCTAAATCGTTGAATATGGGACAAAAAGGAAACCTTATATCACACATCCCAAGTATATCGCAATATGCACGAAGAAACAGTCACTCGTGAGTACAAAACAAAACGAAACGAAACGAAAAGAAAATAAAAGAAAAGAAAAGAAAAAGAAACAGGAAATGCTCTTAATCACGGGCGATCATGTGGTCTCTGGCAGGCCCAGTACCGATCCACTTGACAGGAACACCACCAATCTCACGCTCAATGAACTCAATGTAAGCGCGAGCATTAGGAGGCAGATCCTCGTAGCGCTTAACACCCATAGTGTTCGACTTCCATCCAGGCAGAGTGACATACTCGACCTGGATCTTGTCGACGACATTAGGATCCGCAGGGAAGGTACCAGTAGTGCGCTTTCCATCGGGCAAGATGTAAGCAACACCGACCTTGATCTCATCAAAGTCATCAAGGATATCAAGCTTAGTCAAGTTAAGCGCGGTGTAGTGGTTGATAGCGTGAGAGTAGCGGCATAGGACAAGATCCAACCAGCCACAGCGACGACGACGGCCAGTAGTCACGCCGAACTCACGTCCAACCCGCTGAAGTTTCTCGCCGTCTCCGTTGATCTGCTCGCTGGGGAAAGGCCCAGAGCCAACGCGTGTCGTGTAAGCCTTCACCACGCCGATCACGGACTTGATGCTGGCAGGGTTCAGGGCAAGCGCTTGCACGGCTCCGCCCAGGCCGGTTGATGACGAGGTCACGTACGGGTATGTGCCGTGGTCTAGGTCGAGCATGAGGGCGTTGGCGCCTTCGACAAGTGTGTTGGGCGAGTTCTTGTGCTCCTGCAGGAACTCGAGCTGGTCGACGATGTGGGGCTTCAGGAGGTTGCGGTATTCCTAGAAATTGTTAGAGATGTGGTTGTGATGTGGATGAACAGGAACCATAATTTGTCCTCTGCTGTCGCGTGCGATGGGCTTTTCTTGCCATTCGTCGATGGAATGGAGAAATGCCGGGTTTCATGCGTACCTTGAACCGCGCAATCTCCTCCTCAACATCATATGCCAGATCTCCGAACCGTGTGCGGTATGAGGTGTCCAAAGTGCGCAGCTTGCGCTCGAAGGTTTCCTCGTCCAAGATCTCGCCGACGCGGACACCGCGACGTGCGGCCTTGTCGCTGTAGCAGGGACCGATGCCCTTGCCGGTGGTGCCAACCTTGCGGCCACCGAGACCCTTCTCCTCGAGACCGTCGACGACCGAGTGAAGGTCGAAGCAGACATGTGCGCGGTCAGAGACGAAGATGCGTTGGGCGGCGCCCTTCAGGCCCTTGGCCTCGATAGCGGCCAGTTCCTTGAAGAAGCTGGGGACGTGGAAGACGGTACCGGCGCCGATCAGGTTGATACATTTTGGCGAGACGAGGCCGGAGGGAAGGATGTGGAAGTCGTAGGTGACATTGTCGTGGACAATAGTGTGGCCGGCATCTGTATCCAATTGAAAAAGGTCGGCTGGTCAGTCTCTGTCTCGCCGGGCTTTTGGAACGGCCCGCTTGAAAATTTCGACAATTCGGAGTAGAGGGAATGCAAAGCGAGTTGAACATACTGTGTCCGCCGGCTGCACGGCAGCAAAGTGTCGCATCCTGCGACAGCATGTCTGTGATCTTCCCCTTTCCTGTTCGTTCGTTAGCATGTCCAATGTGTCTCTGTTGGGGTTTCGTTCCCATTACCTTCATCTCCCCATTGACTTCCCAGAACGATTGAAACCATGATTGCACGCTTGACGAAGTCACGAATTCAGACTTATGCACGATCAATTGCTTTGGATGGTGGGGTAGGTTCGAAGTGGAAAGAGAATATATCTGGAGCCGATAGCGGGGCCAAGATCAGGTTTGCCGGGTGTGAGTTTTCTGGGCAATTTCGACCAGGAACAATTTAATTCTAGGGACTTGTAGTTAACAATACTACAATGAGCTATCCTTTTACGAATTTGATCTTTTTTTCCAGTGAGTCAGACCAATTTCCGCGAACGCCCGCTGTCACAGATCCGGCGGGGTGGCGGGGATTTGCAGCCTTAATGCCTTAATGCCTTAATTTATCTCGGTGCCTCAGGCAGAAAGGGTTAGGGCAAGGGCTCCAATGTATCCCATTTGTCGCATAGCATGCAGTAAAACGTATGAATATCCATTTATTTTCATTTACTAGAGCCCTGTAAGGGATTTTGATCTTTTGACACTATCTTTAGGTGGAAGGTCTCTACTCAAATGTAATGGGGAGCCCTAGCATTGGGAGAGGGGTCGGATGCTGCACTTGGGTGGTCGATCCGACTGAGATCGAGCGGCTCCTTCCCGTCCGTTGTATTGATGAGCTTGTCATCGAGAGGCCACTGGTTGGACAAGGGTATCTCGGAGAGCCAGGCAAGACGGCAGAGAGCTTTGTACAAGATCCGGCTAGGCTGCTGCGCGGAGGGCCTGGATGCCCAGGAAGACAAGGCCGGCTGCACCGAACGGGAGACCTAGTGCGCTACAACGCAGACGGCACGCTGGTCTTCGTGGGCCGTGAATATTTCCAGGTCAAGATCCGCGGGCAGCGGGTGGAGCTGCGTGAGGTGGGAGCACCATGTACGGCAGAGTCCTGCGGACGACATCGTGTCGGCCGTAGGGGCCGAGGTGATTACACCACGAGGCAGCGTCAACCCAACACTTGTGGTATATCTGGTAACCGGGGAGGCGGCAGATGGACCTAATAGGGTTCAGGAAGCCATCCAGCAGGCGACCCAGGGGCTGCAGGAGCGGCTGGGCAAGCAGCTGCCGGGGTACATGGTACCGAGCGCGTGCATCCCCGTGGACGAGATTCCGACGACTGTGACGGGCAAGATGGACCGGCGCCGACTTCGCGAGATCGGCGGTGCGATGAGGAGGGAGCAGCTGGCGGCACTGCAGCCTGCGCGTGGTGAACGGCGGGCGGCGACGACGGCGACGGAGCGGCGATTGCAGGACCTGTGGGCGTCGATCCTGGGGCTAGAGGCGGGCAGTACTGCGGCAGACTACAATTTCTTGCGGATCGGTGGTGATTCCATCGGGGCGATGCGGCTGGTCGAGGTCGCGCGCAACCACGGACTGTCATTCACCGTGGCAGATGTGTTGAGCAACCCGTCCCTCGGCGCGCTGGCAGGCGCCCTGAGTGAAATTCATACCCTGCGCTAGGACCATTCTGTTACATCTTGCTATCTGGTCTTCGTTAGTTGGACCTGACGGGTGCCGAGTGTTTGTAACCGCCCAGTCGACCCGTGGACAATAGGTCTACCTATATCGAATGCCTGACTGCTAGGCCTTGTATGAGGTCGGGTTCAGGGATATATAGAGTTATTGAAGAATGAATACGCCAGGTGGCTAGTACCGAGTTAGATGTATACATTCAACAACATTCAACAACACACGCGACACAAGAACACAGATAAACATCCATGGATCTGAAACCAGATGACGTCACGACTTGGATGTCACGTGATGCGACGCTCGGCTTCAGCTTGACTGCCCCTCCAGCTCGATTTTCATGTGATTATTTAGTTGTCTTTCGAAAGGCTTTAATTGGATTCACCTGTCGCCATGGGTATCCTTGGCCACCGCCATCTCGACCCTGTTGCCGAACCTATCGCCCTATTCGATCAATATGTCTCGAGGGAGCCGCAGACATTAGTCCTAAGAGAAAAGGTGTTCTCCGTTTCTGGAGACAGCTTCGAAATCAAATTTGCCAATGGTGCGCCGCTTATGAAAGTGCGCGGAGCGTGGATGTCGCTTTCTGGTCGCAAGAAGGTCGAAGACGCCCAGGGCAATCACCTGTTTGATATTGTCAAAGAGCATCTGCATATCCATACGACGTATGCGATCGAAGACACACATCACAAGAAGATTTGTGAGGTGAAGAGTAGTCTCGCGTGTATGTTTTGTCTTCTATGATGCTTTTTACCATGATTATTCTAAATGACAAAGGACATTGCTGACTTGCACTAGTGCTCGGCTCGAAAGCCACTGCCACTTTTACTGATAGTTACGGCAAAGCAGTGGCTCTCAAGATGAAAGGAGGCTGGTACGATCAGAGTGCTGATATTGTCGACGATAAAAGCGGCCAAACAGTGGCTCGCATTGACCGGAAACTGCTCAGCGGCCGCGACCTCTTTTTTGGCCAGCAGACCTACGCCGTCGTTGTGGCACCTGGTGTAGACGCGGCACTGATTGCCGCCTTATGTATATGTTTTGATGAGAAGAACAACGAGGCAGGCGGCCAGTAGTAACACTGGATGCACAAGACAGCATCCGGTTGGGGAGCAATTTAGCTGGGCCAGCTTTCTTAGCACCTTCCAGAGCAACCGTTGAAGCAGATATTGAAACATCTTTGCATATATTTCCATGTCAAAGTAGAACGAGACGGGCTTTCACTGGTGAGGCTCAAAGTTCACCGTGGGAAGTTTGGAACAATATCGTGGAGACAACCACATATTTACATCATAGTGGTAGCCTGCCCAAGACCACCAAAAGCGAGATATCAGGGGAAGTGAAACCATCCATCTATTCATCTGTACTGTACACGAAACTAAGGTTTCGTTTTAGTCGAGGTAGAGTTTCCAATATTCTCTCGCCTGCAGTTCATCCGCAGCTCAGAAAATATGTAGGCTCATTTGCTGCGCCTTGCGATAAGTCATGGCTGAGGTGGCCCCGGAGAACGACCATCTTCTGCTGCCAGTAAGCCTTGCACGCCGGATGAGACACTGAAACTACAGCACAGCCACCCTAATGCAAGAACACGAAGGACGCCACATTATCACAGCGGATGCATTCAATAACTTCCAAAAGAACGCGACTTGCTGTCTTCCGCTTTTACTACCAGTATCATCTTTCTTTACCCGCAACCAAGTAATCGTTACTCATATGGCACAATTCATACTGTGACCGGATTACATTTCGAGCAGAATGGCATCTCTGTGGTATTGCTGCGGATGTAATTTCGGGCCTCACAACTCAAGTTTATACGACTCCTGTATCCAATGCGGAAGAACACGGTGCGCCCGATGCGTGGGCGAATTTAATGTGACCCCGGAGGGATCGCCGCCACCAAACATTTGCGACTCCTGTGATCAGGAGCACAAAGGGCAAGCTCCACAACATGCCATCGAAAACAACAAAGGAGGAGAAACAGATGGCACTAGCCGAGCCAAGAAGGACCCCAGTGTACCTACTGCACTTCTTCGGTCTACTAAATATGTGTTTGGATTCTTTCCCAGACGAACACGTCCTACTATCCCAGGTACTCCGCGTGAAATTTCCCTTTCATCTCAGCCTTCCTATCCTGCAATACCACTGCAGCGTGAAAGTGCCGAATATATCTTATATTCCGCATCACTGGGGTCTCTTATGACACATTGGATTTACGAACAATCCTTTTGCGGGGCAATTTCTTCCAACCAGGTCCAAACGCTGGAGGCTGTCCTCGTTGAATGGAAGAGTACTCAACCAGAAATATTATATACAGAGTCAAATAACAAGACATCATTCTGGAATTCATTCAAAGGTATCCTTGAAACATTGACGGGTGGGGTGCTTGACTGGCGGCCCTTTGGACCATATAGAACGCCACTCGTTCAAGGCCAAACTAGAATATGCTGGGAATGCGTAAGTGTGTGTGCCCCTTGGTGGACGTTAATCTACCACTGACTTCCTATCTAGCCATGTGGTGACCCGCGTTGGGTGGTGGTTCCTCAGTCCTTTGCGCTCAAGATTGAAGAATACTCAAGGACTAACGCCGCACCACCAGATGGAAGCAACGATCCAGTATATAGCCGTTCGCTACCTGGAATAGCTGCCTCAGCTCATGGTTCTGGCGAGGGGGCCAAATCACAGATAAATAGTGGACAGGCCTCCGGATCGAACCACTCTGGGTCGAGAGCTCAGTGTCGAAGCCTGGAAAATGGTCAAAAACTCAGCTATCAGCTTCACGCTTTTCTTGTCTTGGTTAACTTCTCGATCTTTGGAAGCACACATTGCCTTGCACAGACAGCTGTTCACGACATGAGCGATGACGAGTTCTTTACGTGGATTCGAACCTCGTACTACTCTCATCGAGGATTTCTCGCCACCTGGTTCGGTCTCTACAAATATGCACACTGTGAATTCTTTCGGGTGAGTTCCCACGAAGCCAATACAAATAACTTGGTAATATATCCAGCTGTATAAGATCCTCTAAAAGCTGAGTATTATTAGTTCAGGAGGTTCGATGGGTACGAGTACGCTCCTCTGATGCCTGAATACCCAGACGAGGATCAAACAGTCTATCATTTTACACCAAAGCCTATGCGCCCTCGTCCACCAATGGCACCACATGAGTTCAACCATTGGTTCTATAAGAAAGGATGGTCTCGCTCTGCCCGAAGAGTATTCACTGCAAAGGGTTACAAAGGAAGAAACAACAAAAGGCTCAATTTCTGCGGAGAAGTGGTTCAAGAGAAGATTCCGAAACGAGAGACTAGTCTCGAGGAAGGGGACCCTGCGAGCGAAGACTTTTGGGGCCTGTACGTCGTCGAGCGACGGTCAGCTCTCAGACTGGCAATCTTTAGTCTCGCTTTCCTCATTCCTTCAGTCTACTTCTTCTTTGCATGGTTGTTCCAGTGGGGTCATGAAGGCGACATACAGAATGCATCCATTCCTATTACACTCTCACTGGCCCCCATTATGACGTTCTGGGGATTTGTCTTGTCTACTTCTCCCAGATTCGACAGCGTTCGTGCATTATGAGCCAAAAGGAAAAGCAGTTTCCTACTGTATATGGCAATATTTGGTCTTTCATGAGGGGTTGGCACTGAGTGGTAATATCCAGGTCTCAAAATTCAGGCGACATGTTTCGGGCTCGAATGGGACCTTGTTAGCATTTGGCTGGTTATGTATGTCAAATTCGAGCTATGGCCGTCCATAAGTAATAGCCGAGCTTTCCCCCTGGGGAATTGGTAGTGAATACAGCCTGGAGATTGTTCATCCCATACATTCCCATCTGCACATTCAACCGCAGATGAAAACTCAGTTGGCCGGACAGATGTTGCGAAGAAGGTGGGCATTGACCGACTATGTCATCGGGGTCGGGCGAAGGGCAGATTAATTACTGATGGCGTCCATTCACGGTCCAAGTAACCGGGGTGGGGGCCTGTGAGGGAGCCCGTTCACATATATCAGGTAGTCTAGGTCGGCAGGTATCATCATCGTTAGAAGAAGCGTAAGCGATCCCCAAGGCAGAAGACGCCGCTGGGGGCCTATTAATATGGTTGTCTTAGCTTCCTTTCGAAAGATTCATGCTGTTTCTGGTATTTAGAAACTCTATGAAAAGACGTCTCGGAAAAGCAGGTCCGGAGAGGCAGTAACTATCGGAAGTCATCAATGTCTCCGAGTTTGAAACGTCACAGAGCACTCCCAGGGGCTTATTATAACCTTGGAAGAGACCGATTGGCTCACGAACATATGACCAAGATTCTGGAACCAGACAAAAAAGCATTTGAATACTTATGTATTTGAACCACATAAGCCCTCCTAGTACCTAAGTACAAATCCAATCCAACTTGAACAAATCCATGAGAGGAAACACCGATAATGATAGAAACCCGATGAAAGCGTAAAGCGTCAGGTATATCTATGCAGATGTGATAAAAATCCCGGGTATTCACAATAACACCAAGTCATTATGCATCGCAAAAGAGAGAGAGATCAAAAGGGCAGGTAGAAGACATTAATAGAAGTGAAAAAAAGGAAACAACGGAGACGCCAGAAGGCTGGAAACAGGTCAGATCAAAAATCAGAGCCGAGCCTCACAATATAAGCCGAAGATTCAGCTTCAGCAATAGCTTTCCAATTATCAAGACAAGGCTCCAGTGATAAAACTCAAACCACTTTCCCGCCATCCCGAATCCACTCTCTCAATCGTCCAAGATCAAGGATACAGTCCCGATGCATCTCGCAAGCAACTTCCCAATGCTTACGCACCTGGATATCCTCCTCAATACCACGGAGATAAGCACTAAATCCGCCCTTGCTGCTGCCAGGGATGAGGAATTCATCAATATGATAATCATCAAAATCCTTCTTTGTCGTGCCGTCGTTGTCGTCGTCTGCGCCGTTTATTTTGAGACGGGTAGAGTCTCCTACGGCACTGATCCAGCCCGGCGCGAGACCGGTTTCGTTCGCTTGTTGGCGCGCATTGAAATGTGTGAGCATGCGGGCGTTGAACGCGTTCCATTCGTGCATGTACGCCCCCATTGCGGAGACATACCAGTTCCATTTGTCTCGGGGGAGGACGAGCTGCTTAGAGGTTGGGCCTATGCGGACTCGTTCCGGGGCCGAGGGTCGTTTGGGTGGGTTTGGGAGTTGGAGTGTGCGGGGCCGGATGTCTTCTCTTGTGGTCCTTTGCTGCTTAGCTTGGGATTCGAAGGGGAGAGTGGTGTGGAAGTCTTCTAGGTTCTCGATGCCTCCGCCGGTGGTATTCGTGAATGGTACAGTATTGCGGAGATTATCGAGGTTAAATAGAGGGGTGCGGGTTTCGGTGCTCGAAGGAGGCTTGGGCTTCTTGATCGGAGGTGCATTTGATACAGCCTGAGAAGCCAAATCAGGGTAGCTGCCACTGCTTGGTCTTCCAACTGAGACATTCGGCGGGACACCCGGAGTAGGAAGGTCCTCATCGAGGTCCATCTCCTCAACATCCGGTGCTGCTGTCCAGGCTTGCCCAGAAGGATTCTGGCCATTGAGAGTTTCTTTAGCTTCATCTGCTTCAGTAGCAACACTTGCCGGCTGGGGAGCGCTCCGCAATTTGGTGCCTGCCCTGGGCTGCTTCTTTGGACTACGAGGCGGCGCAGCATTTGCCGTTTGCTTGGTTTTCTCAACCTCTGGTGCAGTCCATGAGAGATTTCGAAGCTGTTCAGACCATGAATCTGCAGAAAACTTTGCCTGTGCAAAGGGTGTTGGTGGTTGCTGTTGCTGTGCAGTTTGATACAGTGGAGTAGGACCGAAAGGATTCGGAATCGGCGATCCAGTCGAGGATGCCTGCGTCGCTCCGTTTCGGAAGTTGGTACGGCCCCGATTCTGCGAGGCAGGCGATCTGGGAAGCGACTCCTTGCTTGGCGAGGCAGAGCCTATGAAATCGAACTGATCCAAATGATCGCGCCAATCATCTGCAGAAAACTTCTTGTGCAAGTAACTTGTGCTACTACGTCCATACGCGGCAGACTGGGGCCTTTCCCTATTGTTTGGCGGGTCAGTGCTAATACGGGTGTCTGTCAGATAGGTCGAAGCGGCTTGATAGTAGGTATATCGAACATACTTGACAGAAGAGGAAGAACCCGATGAGTTGGGCTGGTGGTCCGATCGGTACGAGCTTTTTGGGAAAGCAGCACTATCCGAGGTGTGTCCTTTGGGACCGTCCTTGTCAGCAGGGGTGCGTTGATTAAGGGGAGAATTCCGAGACAGCGAATGGAGTTCGTAGCTACCATCAGGTAGCTCAACGGCTCGAAGCCCATTTGCGTTGAGGAAGGAGTCAAAGTCCATACCATTTCCGGGGCTTGCTGTTCCTGGGTTGTGGAAGTCGGCAAACTTTTGATGCTGCCCGAGTCGGCTCTTTGGCACAGCCTTCGGTTTGGGCCTAGGCTCTTCCCCTTCACTCGAGCTGGTAGAGTCATAGTTATTGGCATTCCGCCTGGGAGAGGGGCTGGCACTACGGTATCTCCCAGATCGGCCAGAGGCAGGGCTGGTTTTACCTGTATGTGCGTTTTGATGGGAACCCGAGGGGGTGCGCATGGTGGCAGAACGTCCTAATCCAGTGCTTGAAAAGAAAGTCTTCTCACCCTTGCCTGCCTGTGCATAGCTTCTACTGGGTCGTTCGAACTCCGGGGTGTATGAATGGCGAGAGTTGGGTTGAGACGGCTCAGGTGATGTTGGCTTTTTCGCAGTTGGGGGCACAGCAGGCTTGAAGTATTGGCTGCTCATCCGTTCGGTCCGACTGTTATTGCTATATGCAGAGGTGTTGCGGGCCATTGGTTCGTCCCCTCCAGCTACGCCGGGCGCAAAGCCCTGCTTCTTCTTGAAAGACTGTGCGTTGGAATGGGAATTGTGGGCCTCAAAGGCAGACTTGGGCCGGGTAGACTGCGCAGAAGTTCCAAAGGGATGACGCTGTGCCCCAGGGCCTGGGACACCGCCAGTGGTACGACCAGTTGAAGGATCGAAGCCCTGCCATCCAGGTCCCTGACCTCCTCTCATATTATTAAAGCCATGGAATGCATCAGCCCTTGTTTGCGCATTATCCGGTTGCTTGAACTGTTGCGGACCGGCCCGTGCATGAGATGCGTATCGTCGAGCGCCAGCCGACGGGGTACTGGGGGTCGCCTTTGCGTACTGTGAATTTGTAGATGCCGAGGTTGGCGTAGGGCGAGGAGGATACGTGGGGGGTTGTGTTTTGCGCTGGGTGTTTGCCTTGGGCGGTCCGTAAAATTTGCCGTAGCCTGCGCGTAAACGATCGGTGTCGTATTTCAGTCGTTGCGAGGGGTCACTGAGGATCTCATTGGCGGCCTGGATGGCCTGAAATTTCGCGTTGAACTCGACTTCTCGTCCTGGGTTCCTGTCTGGGTGGTACTTGAGTGCTTTCCTCTAGGTTAGCAATGACCTCAATTATCACTTTGTGACATAGCTTCTGCAAAGCTAACCTAATTTCCTGAATTGCCTTTTGATGTCCTCGGCCTCCGCGCTGGGCTGGAGCCCAAGGTCCGCATAGTAATCCTTGCGCACGTCTGATTTCACCATAATGTTCGTCGGTTTCCGGCGAACTTATGCAGTGGTAATAAGCTCGAATTGCATAATCGGTGTTCAAGTAAACAATCGGTGGTCCCACGCATGTCCAGTCATAGAAGGTCAGCCCGAGAGTAAGGTAAAAAGCACGTTGCACGAAGGCAGGGCCTTTTGAACAAGACCAGGCAAGCAAAACAACAATGATATATCCTGCAATCCTAGCGAAGTTAAAATCTTACCCGCCAAAGGTTGCAAAATGTTGCGACACTGGGTTCAGTTCAGATGTGGGAAAAAAAGAAAGGGCAGAGCCTCGTATGCTCCGCGGTCTTGGTTGGCCGCAGGGTCCACTCCCAAAGCGCTAGTCAGAGCTCTGCTTAGGAGAGACAGTTCGGAATTTTGTCCAGGGGTTTGCGGCGATTTGA